AATTTTATTGGTTTTAAATACCTTTTTTATTAAGTTGCATTTCTGATTATGCATTTAGTTATTTAAAAATATGTATGATTTATATATAATGAAAAAAAAAAAAAAAAAAAAAAACATAAAAAAACTAATGAGTTTATAATAAATACAATTATTAATAGGGAGTTCAAAAAATTGTTACGCTATTTGTTTTAGTTTCATAGATAAGATCGTTGCTTATATATATATATAGTTGATAAATAAATATTAAATTGTCATTATATATTAAAAAAAATTAATAGAATATAATTATTTATACATATATTACTTGATTTTATTATATGTACCATTTTTCCTTTCATATTTTTTTTTAATTAAAATTTTCGCAAAATTGTAATTTTTTATCTTTTACAATTAAAATGGCATTTTATTTATCAAATTTTAATAATAATGAAAAATTTGAAGCAAGTCAAAATTATAATTCTACAAAAGTTTTTAACTCTAAATTAGTTCTATTAGGTTATTAGTGAACAATTTCTTGTAAATTAATTTTTATAGAAGTGTACTTTTTTTTTGAAAAATTTTTTATATTTTGGATTATTTTTTTTTTTTATATCTTTTTCTTTTAGAAAAAAAAAAAAAAATAAAATAAAATAAAATATTTTTATTATAATTACAAATATTTATTTTACAGGAGATACATCAGTTGGGAAATCATGTATTGTTGTAAGATTTGCAAAGAATGAATTTTATGAATATCAAGAATCAACAATTGGTGGTAAATATAAATAGAAAAATTTTAATTATATAAATGAATTAAAAATAATTTAATTTTTCTATTTCTTATTTAAACATAAATGTTTTTATTAAATATATATTTGATATAAATTTTTTTTTCTATATATCATTTATCATATTAATATAAAAATTCATATGCTTTTTTTTTTTTTTTTTTTTACTTTTTAAGCAACTCCTTTATCACCAATTAAATTTATCATATTTTTTACTTTAGTTTCTGCTTCTTTTTTAACCTTACTATCATCTTTAAAGTCTTTAATTAATGATTTATGAGCACTACTATCATTTGATGGAGGCTTAATTTCCTTTTGTTTTTGTTGTTCAGAATTTTCGTGTGACTGACCTTCTTCTGTTCTTCTTGACTCTTCTTGTTTTCTTTGTTTCTCAATTGCAGACTCTGAAATTTCTTCCTCAGATAAGATATCTCCTGTTGGTTGTTTCTCATCTTTCAGTGAATCTCCATTTTCCATTTGGCTATCTCTTGTTTCTCTTTCATCACTAAAAATATTTTCCTCTTCACCTCCACTATCATCTTCATCATCTTCAACTTCATCCACTTCACCTTCACCTTCTTCTATTTCATCATAATCTAATTCACCATCTAATTCCTCTTCTTCATTTATTTGTTCTTCGTCATCCTCATCTTCTTCTTCTTCATCTACTTCATGTTCTTCTTCTTCTTCCACATCTTCATCGCCCTCATCATAGCTATCTTCAGGAACAGCAATCTCTTGTATTATGGGTGTTTTTTTTTCTTGTTCACTTGTTTGTACCTTATCTACTTCTTTTACAGTATTTAAATCACTTTGATCTGTTTGTTTTTTTATAGAATCATTTCTTGTACTTCCCCCTGCAATTCCCCCTTCTATAATTTTGGTTTCCTGTGATAATGCTTCCGATTGTGGTTGTCCTGGTGTTAATTCTTTTACTTGTAAAACATCAGCAGATGGCAAATTTTCACCTTCTTTGTTGACTCCTTCTGTCCTCTGTGGTGATGAATCAACTCCACTTGCGTTTTCTACATGTTGTTCTTGAGAACTATGTTTTTGATCGCTCTCTGTTACTGCCGGATCACTCTGAATATGTTGAGGTTGCCCTACACTATCTTGTGTTACTTGTGCTTCTTTTGGTAATTGTGATACGTCTTTTTTTTTACTTTTTCTCTTCTTACCTTTTTTTTTTGTTTTACCGCCTACACCATCACCTTGATCTGAACTCATATCTTCTTCTTCACCTTCACTTTCGTCGCCATCATCTTCCTCATCCTCATCATCTTCAGAATCTTCGGCATCACGTTCTTGCTGGTCCTCATGTTGCTCATCCTTTTGTAAATCTGAACCACCTTTATTGTCAACTGGTACTCCACTAGTAATTGTTGTTTTTTCTAAACCACCAGAAGTAAGTGGTTCTTGTTTTTCTTGATGATCTGGAATTGTTTCTAATTGATTTTGTGTTTCACTACCTTCTTGACTTTTTATAATTGATGTTAATCCTTCATTTGAAGAACTTGTTTTGTCTTGATCTACTGTTGTTACATGTTCTGAATTTTGAGAAGGAGGATTCCTTACAACTGATCTGCTCTCTTCAGATTCATTTAGTGCACTATCTCTTTTTGTTTCTTCTTTGTGATCATTTGGATGATCCCCTGTTCCACTACTATCTCCTTCACCTAACTGTACTTGCAAAGTTCCGTCTACTGAGTTTTCTTTTCTTTCTTCTTTTGGAGCATTTGGATCTTCATCGGCTTGTATAGAATCATCTTGACCTTGAATTGTTTGAATGCCATTGGTGTTATAAAACCCTTGGATGTTTTGTAATTTTTCATCTGCTCCTCCTAAATTATTATATTTCTCTCTTATAGTATAACTATTACTTAAACCTCCATGTCTTAAATTAGGTTTTTGCAAATCTACAAATTGTGTGCTTTCAGCTTTATTTATCAAACTTACGTTGTTTTCACAAATATATGAATTTAAAAAAATTAAATAAAAGGCAATGTTAATAATCTTTATCATTTTGCACTTTTTTTTTTTTTTTAAAATTATAAAATTTTAAAGCATATCAAAAAAGATAAAAAAAGTGGAAATTATAGAACAATTGTATATATCATAAAAATAAATTTTTAAAATGTATAGAAAAATAAAAAAATTGAATAATTGTTTATTTATTTCATAAAATTAAAATTGAATACATGATAATTGAATAGATGCATTAGCTCTAATAGAAATAATCTTTTTAATTTACTAAAAAAATTATGAGTTACATAGTTATTTAGACCATAATATAGAAAAGTTATTATATAAAATTACTTTAAAAAAAAAAAAAAATTATTTGCATGTCGTAAAAAGTAATTGAAGTATTTTTATAAAAATTAAAAGTTATAGAAAATAAATACTTAGAAACAATCTATAAAAAAAACAAAAATATTTTTTCTATATAAAAAATTGATTCTGTAATAATATTAAAATGTTTTAATTTATTTGACTTATTTTTTTCTAAAAAATAAGAAATTCAAGCTTGATTTTGTATTAATATATAATGTGCAATTCATAGTTCAACGTTTCTTTTTTTTTTTTTTTTGCAATTCCTAATTATGAAAAAAATGAAAAAAAAGATAAATATATATTTTTAAACATTTTAATTTCAAAATTAAGAAAAGTAATTTTCCTTAGGAAATTTTAGATAATCTAAACTTAAAGCAACAGTGACAAAACGTTTTCTTAAAAAAAAGTTTTTTTTCTTTTTTTTTAAGATAATATAAAATTATAAGAAAAATGAAATAATGTATTCAAATTGCTTGTATATTAAGAAATATATGAATGTGTGCACATAAAAAATTATTGTAATATTTATTTCCCTTAAAAATATATTATTGTACTTTACTAGAATTCTTATGAAATAACATAAAAAAATAAAGTTAAAAAGAAATTAATTTCGTTAAATAAAAATTGATAATTTAAAAAAAAAAAAAAAAAAAAAAGGTAAAAAATTTGAATAAAATGTAAGGTATTTCCTTTTAACTTTTTTCATATCTAAAAAATTTCTTTTATAACATATATATTTCATGGATATATAGAAAACTAACATTTATTTCCTTTGTTAACTGTAACATTTTAATTTTATTATAAAAACAAAAAAAAAAAAAAATCAAAAATTTTAAATTCTTTAAAGGTTAAAAAAAGAAAAAAAATTACATTTTGTTTTGTCTTAGAAACATTTGGTCTAATACTTCATATAAATAATCGTGTAATTCCCTAAATTAAAATATTGTGTAATTTTTTTTAATTATAAAATAATAATATTGTTCCATTTTATAAACATCTTATCAAACTTTCATTCATTAGATAATTTTATGTATTTTGCTATCATTGTTTCTATAATTGCTTTAGAGCATTTTTCACAAATTATTTTTTTTATTCATTATATTAATAATAAAAAATTTATTTTCATTTTAAAAATTTTGATAAATACAATTAGAAATTTCTAATATACAATAATAAACAAGATAAAAGTTTTCAGTTAATTTGAAATAATGTTATTTGATTATCCTATAATCATTATACTTATTATTATTTTTTTTTTTTTTTTTGTATATGACTTATATTTTTATTTTTTAATGAACTTTTTTCATCCTCTAGATTTATTTGAATTTTTGTTTTGATTACATCCACTATTTTTTATAATTTATTTATAGCAGTATAATTATATATAAAACAAAATAGGTAACCATATATTTTTATATTTTTATTTTTTTGACTATCCTAATTATTTGAGGCTAATGTGAAGTAATACATTGTTAATTAATTGAATATTTAATTTATACTATAAGGAGGAATATGATAAAAAGTATATTTATGATTATCATCAATAAAGATAATACATAATTTTTTTTTAAAGATTAAGAAAAATTTGAGCCATATCTTTGGCCAAATCTTTCAATGTATCAGCAACTCCACTATCACCAATTAAATTTATCATATTTTTTACTTTAGTTTCTGCTTCTTTTTTAACCTTACTATCATCTTTAAAGTCTTTAATTAATGATTTATGAGCACTACTATCATTTGATGGAGGCTTAATTTCCTTTTGTTTTTGTTGTTCAGAATTTTCGTGTGACTGACCTTCTTCTGTTCTTCTTGACTCTTCTTGTTTTCTTTGTTTCTCAATTGCAGACTCTGAAATTTCTTCCTCAGATAAGATATCTCCTGTTGGTTGTTTCTCATCTTTCAGTGAATCTCCATTTTCCATTTGGCTATCTCTTGTTTCTCTTTCATCACTAAAAATATTTTCCTCTTCACCTCCACTATCATCTTCATCATCTTCAACTTCATCCACTTCACCTTCACCTTCTTCTATTTCATCATAATCTAATTCACCATCTAATTCCTCTTCTTCATTTATTTGTTCTTCGTCATCCTCATCTTCTTCTTCTTCATCTACTTCATGTTCTTCTTCTTCTTCCACATCTTCATCGCCCTCATCATAGCTATCTTCAGGAACAGCAATCTCTTGTATTATGGGTGTTTTTTTTTCTTGTTCACTTGTTTGTACCTTATCTACTTCTTTTACAGTATTTAAATCACTTTGATCTGTTTGTTTTTTTATAGAATCATTTCTTGTACTTCCCCCTGCAATTCCCCCTTCTATAATTTTGGTTTCCTGTGATAATGCTTCCGATTGTGGTTGTCCTGGTGTTAATTCTTTTACTTGTAAAACATCAGCAGATGGCAAATTTTCACCTTCTTTGTTGACTCCTTCTGTCCTCTGTGGTGATGAATCAACTCCACTTGCGTTTTCTACATGTTGTTCTTGAGAACTATGTTTTTGATCGCTCTCTGTTACTGCCGGATCACTCTGAATATGTTGAGGTTGCCCTACACTATCTTGTGTTACTTGTGCTTCTTTTGGTAATTGTGATACGTCTTTTTTTTTACTTTTTCTCTTCTTACCTTTTTTTTTTGTTTTACCGCCTACACCATCACCTTGATCTGAACTCATATCTTCTTCTTCACCTTCACTTTCGTCGCCATCATCTTCCTCATCCTCATCATCTTCAGAATCTTCGGCATCACGTTCTTGCTGGTCCTCATGTTGCTCATCCTTTTGTAAATCTGAACCACCTTTATTGTCAACTGGTACTCCACTAGTAATTGTTGTTTTTTCTAAACCACCAGAAGTAAGTGGTTCTTGTTTTTCTTGATGATCTGGAATTGTTTCTAATTGATTTTGTGTTTCACTACCTTCTTGACTTTTTATAATTGATGTTAATCCTTCATTTGAAGAACTTGTTTTGTCTTGATCTACTGTTGTTACATGTTCTGAATTTTGAGAAGGAGGATTCCTTACAACTGATCTGCTCTCTTCAGATTCATTTAGTGCACTATCTCTTTTTGTTTCTTCTTTGTGATCATTTGGATGATCCCCTGTTCCACTACTATCTCCTTCACCTAACTGTACTTGCAAAGTTCCGTCTACTGAGTTTTCTTTTCTTTCTTCTTTTGGAGCATTTGGATCTTCATCGGCTTGTATAGAATCATCTTGACCTTGAATTGTTTGAATGCCATTGGTGTTATAAAACCCTTGGATGTTTTGTAATTTTTCATCTGTTCTTCCTAAATTATTATATTTCTCTCTTATAGTATAACTATTACTTAAACCTCCATGTCTTAAATTAGGTTTTTGCAAATCTACAAATTGTGTGCTTTCAGCTTTATTTATCAAACTTACGTTGTTTTCACAAATATATGAATTTAAAAAAATTAAATAAAAGGCAATGTTAATAATCTTTATCATTTTGCACTTTTTTTTTTTTTTTAAAATTATAAAATTTTAAAGCATATCAAAAAAGATAAAAAAAGTGGAAATTATAGAACAATTGTATATATCATAAAAATAAATTTTTAAAATGTATAGAAAAATAAAAAAATTGAATAATTGTTTATTTATTTCATAAAATTAAAATTGAATACATGATAATTGAATAGATGCATTAGCTCTAATAGAAATAATCTTTTTAATTTACTAAAAAAATTATGAGTTACATAGTTATTTAGACCATAATATAGAAAAGTTATTATATAAAATTACTTTAAAAAAAAAAAAAAATTATTTGCATGTCGTAAAAAGTAATTGAAGTATTTTTATAAAAATTAAAAGTTATAGAAAATAAATACTTAGAAACAATCTATAAAAAAAACAAAAATATTTTTTCTATATAAAAAATTGATTCTGTAATAATATTAAAATGTTTTAATTTATTTGACTTATTTTTTTCTAAAAAATAAGAAATTCAAGCTTGATTTTGTATTAATATATAATGTGCAATTCATAGTTCAACGTTTCTTTTTTTTTTTTTTTTGCAATTCCTAATTATGAAAAAAATGAAAAAAAAGATAAATATATATTTTTAAACATTTTAATTTCAAAATTAAGAAAAGTAATTTTCCTTAGGAAATTTTAGATAATCTAAACTTAAAGCAACAGTGACAAAACGTTTTCTTAAAAAAAAGTTTTTTTTCTTTTTTTTTAAGATAATATAAAATTATAAGAAAAAAGAAATAATGTATTCAAATTACTTGTATATTAAGAAATATAAAAATGTGTGCACATAAAAAATTACTGTAATATTTATTTCCCTTAAAAATATATTATTGTACTTCACTAGAATTCTTATGAAATAACATAAAAAAATAAAGTTAAAAAGATATTAATTTCGTTAAATAAAAATTGATAATTTAAAAAAAAAAAAAAAAAAAGGTAAAAAATTTGAATAAAATGTAAGGTATTTCCTTTTAACTTTTTTCATATCTAAAAAATTTCTTTTGTAACATATATATTTCATGGATATATAGAAAACTAACATTTATTTCCTTTGTTAACTATAACATTTTAATTCTATTATAAAAACAAAAAAAAAAAAAATCAAAAATTTTAAATTCTTTAAAGGTTAAAAAAAGAAAAAAATTTACATTTTGTCTTATCTTAGAAATATTTGGTCTAATACTTCATATAAATAACCATGTAATTCCCTAAATTAAAATATTGTGTAATTTTTTATAATTATAAAATAATAATATTGTTCCATTTTATAAACAGGCTGTCAAATTTTCATTCATGAGATATTTTTATGTATTTTATTATCATTGTTTCAATAATTGCTTTAGAGCATTTTTTACAAATTATTTTTTTTATTTATTATTTTAATAATAAAAAATTTATTTTCATTTTAAAAAATTTAGATAAATACAATTAGAACTTTCTAATATACAATAAAAAGAAGTATAAAAGTTTACAGTTAATTTGAAATAATGTTATTTGATTATCCTAGAATCTTTATATTTTTTTTTTTTTTTGTATATGACTTATATTTTTATTTTTTAATGAATTTTTTTCATCCTCTATATATATTTGAATTTTTGTTTTGATTATATCCACTATTTTTTATAATTTATTTATAGCAGTATAATTATATATAAAACAAAATGGGTAACCATTTATTTTTATATTTTTATTTTTTTGACTATCCTAATTATCTAAGGCTAATATGAAGTAATACATTGTTAATTAATTGAATATTTAATTTATACTATAAGGAGGAATATTATAAAAAGTATATTTATGATTATCATCAATACAGATAATACGTAGTTTTTTTTTAAAGATTAAGAAAAATTTGAGCCATATCTTTGGCCAAATCTTTCAATGTATCAGCAACTCCACTATCACCAATTAAATTTATCATATTTTTTACTTTATTTTCTGCTTCTTTTTTAACCTTATTATCATCTTTAAAGTCTTTAATTAATGATTTATGAGCACTACTATCATTTGATGGAGTAATAATTTCCTTTTGTTTTTGTTCAGAATTTTCGTGTGACTGACCTTCTTCTGTTCTTCTTGAAGACTCTTCTTGTTTTCTTTGTTCGTCAATTATAGTATCTGGAATATCTTGTTCTGGTGAGATGTCATTTGGTGGTCTCTTATCTTCCACTGAATCTCCATCTTCCACACGGCTATCTCTTGTTTCTCTTTCATCACTCGGACTATATTCATCTTCACCTCCATTATCATCATCATCATCTTCATCTTCACCTTCTTCTATTTCTTCATAATCGATATTGTCATCTAATTCTTCTTCTTCATTTATTTGTTCTTCGTCATCCTCATCCTCATCCTCATCTTCTTCTTCTTCTTCTTCTTCTTCTTCTTCATCTACTTCATGTTCTTCTTCTTCTTCTTCCTCCTCTTCTTCACTTCCATGATCACTTACATGATCAATTATTTCCACTATAAGATTTTTTCTTTTCTTGTTCACCTGTTTGTATTCCTGGTTGATTAATTATTTGTGTCTGTTTTGGGTCATTTTGATGATTTCCACTTTTCTTTTCTTCCTCTTCTTCTTCTTCCACTTCTTCATCGCCCTCATCATAGCTACCTTCAGGAACATCAATCTCTTGTATTATGAGTGTTTTCTTTTCTTGTTCACCTGTTTGTATTCCTGATTGATTAATTATTTGTGTCTGTTTTGGGTCATTTTGATGATTTCCACTTTTCTTTTCTTCCTCTTCTTCTTCTTCCACATCTTCATCGCCCTCATCATAGCTACCTTCAGGAACAACAATCTCTTGTATTATGGATGTTTGCTTTTCTTGTTCACCTGTTTGTACCTTACTTATTTCTTTTACATTATTTAAACCATTTTGATCTGTTTGTAATTCTGTAGAATCACCGTTTGTACTTCCCCTTGCACTTTCCCCTTCTGTAACTTTGGTTTCCTTTGATAATTCATCCGGTTTTGGTTGTCTTTCTGGTGTTAATTCTGTTACTTGTGAAGCATCAGTAAGTGGCAATTTTCCATCTTCTCCTTTTGTGTCTCCTGCTTCTGTCCTATGTGTTGATGACTCAACTCCACCTGTACTTTCTACATGTCCTTGAGAATTCGTGTCTTCTTGAACTCTTTCTGGTGCAACTACTACATCACTCTGAATAGGTTGAGTTTGCCCCACACTATCTTGTTTTTCTTGTGGTTCTTTTGATGATGGTGATACGCCTCTTTTTTTACCTTTTTTTATCTTACTTTTCTTTTTTGGTTCACCATCTACACCATCACCTGCTTCTGTAACTGTATCTTGTTCATCTTCACTTTCATCATCATCATCACTCTCATCTTCCTCATCCTCATCATCATCGGCATCATTTTCTTGCTGTTCCACATGTTGCCTTTCCTTTTGTGGACCTGTACCATCATCATTGTCAACTGCTACTCCACCGATCTTTGTTTTTTCTAAACTACTAGAAGGAAGTGGTCCTTGTTCTTTTTGACCTGGAATTGTTTGTAAGTGATTTTGCTCTTCACTAGCTTCTGAATTGGTTACACTTGGCGTTAATACTTCATTAGAAGGAATTGTTGTATGTTGATCTGCTTCTTTTGTATGTTCTAAATCTTGAGGAGGATTCCCTTCATCTGATCTTCTCTCTTCAGATCCATCTAGTTTTCCTTCTCGTTTTGTTTTTTCTTCCTGATCAATTGTATTATCCCTTGTTCCACTACTAACTCCTTCATCTAACTTAGTTTGCGAAGTTTCTTCTACTGAGTTTTCTCTGTTTGCAGGTTTTGGAGCATTTGGATCTTTATCGGCTTGTATAGGATCATCTTGACCTGGAATTGTTTGTAAGTGATTTTGCTCTTCACTAACTTCTGAATTTGTTACACTTGGCGTTAATACTTCATTTGAAGGAATTGTTGTATGTTGATCTGCTTCTTTTGTATGTTCTAAATTTTGAGGAGAATTCCCTTCATCTGATCTGCTCTCTTCAGATCCATCTAGTTTTCCTTCTCTTTTTGTTTTTTCTTCCTGATCAATTGTATTATCCCCTGTTCCACTACTAACTCCTTCATCTAACTGTGTTTGCGAAGTTTCTTCTACTGAGTTTTCGTTGATTGCAGGTTTTGGAGCATTTGGATCTTTATCGGCTTGTATAGAATCATCTTGACCTTGAATTGTTTGAATGTCATTGGTGTTATAAAACCCTTGGATGTTTTGTAATTTTTCATCTGTACTTCCTAAATTATTATATTTCTCTCTTATAGTATAACTATTACTTAAAGCTCCATGTCTTAAATTAGGTTTTTGCAAATCTACAAATTGTGTGCTTTCAGCTTTATTTATCAAACTTATATTGTTTTCACAAATATATGAATTTAAAAAAATTAAATAAAAGGCAATATTAATAATCTTTATCATTTTTCACTTTTTTTTTTTTTTTAAAAATTATAAAATTTTAAAGCATATCAAAAAAGATAAAAAAAAGTGGAAATTATAGAACAATTGTATATATCATAAAAATAAATTTTTAAAATGTATAGAAAAATAAAAAAAATGAATAATTGTTTATTTCTTTCATACAATTAAAATCGAATATATGATAATTGCATAGATGTATTAGCTCTAATAGAAACAATCTTTTTAATTTACTAAAAAAATTATGAGTTACATAGTTATTTAGACCATAATATAAAGAAATTATTATGTAAAATTACTTTAAAAAAAAGAAAAAATTATTTGCATGTCGTAAAAAGTTATTGAAGTATTTTTATAAAAATTAAAAGTTATAGAAAATAAATACTTAGAAACAATCTATAAAAAAAACAAAAATATTTTTTCTATATAAAAAATTGATTCTGTAATAATATTAAAATGTTTTAATTTATGTGACTTATTTTTTTCTAAAAAATAAGAAATTCAAGCTTGCTTTAGTATTAATATCTAATGCGCAATTCATAGTTCAACGTTTCTTTTTTTTTTTTTTTTGCAATTCCTTATTATGAAAAAAATGAAAAAGAAAAATAAATATATATTTTGTATATTTTGTTCATACTAAAAAGAAACACTTACCTTACTAACATAGTCTATTACTAATCAAGATTTTTCAAATATATATTTTTAAACATTTTAATTTCAAAATTAAGAAAAGTAATTTTCCTTAGGAAATTTTAGATAATCTAAACATAAAGCAATAGTGACAAAACGTTTTCTTAAAAAAAAGATTTTTTTCTTTTTTTTTAAGATAATATAAAATTATAAGAAAAATGAAATAATGTATTCAAATTGCTTGTATATTAAGAAATATATGAATGTGTGCACATAAAAAATTATTGTAATATTTATTTCCCTTAAAAATATATTATTGTACTTCACTAGAATTCTTATGAAATAACATAAAAAAATAAAATTAAAAAGAAATTAATTTCGTTAAATAAAAATTGATAATTTAAAAAAAAAAAAAAAAAAGGTAATAAATTTGAATAACATTTAAGGTATTTCCTTTTAACTTTTTTCATATCTAAAAAATTTCTTTTGTAACATATATATTTCATGGATATATAGAAAACTAACATTTATTTCCTTTGTTAACTATAACATTTTAATTCTATTATAAAAACAAAAAAAAAAAAAATCAAAAATTTTAAATTCTTTAAAGGTTAAAAAAAGAAAAAAATTTACATTTTGTCTTATCTTAGAAATATTTGGTCTAATACTTCATATAAATAACCATGTAATTCCCTAAATTAAAATATTGTGTAATTTTTTATAATTATAAAATAATAATATTGTTCCATTTTATAAACAGGCTGTCAAATTTTCATTCATGAGATATTTTTATGTATTTTATTATCATTGTTTCAATAATTGCTTTAGAGCATTTTTTACAAATTATTTTTTTTATTTATTATTTTAATAATAAAAAATTTATTTTCATTTTAAAAAATTTAGATAAATACAATTAGAACTTTCTAATATACAATAAAAAGAAGTATAAAAGTTTACAGTTAATTTGAAATAATGTTATTTGATTATCCTAGAATCTTTATATTTTTTTTTTTTTTTGTATATGACTTATATTTTTATTTTTTAATGAATTTTTTTCATCCTCTATATATATTTGAATTTTTGTTTTGATTATATCCACTATTTTTTATAATTTATTTATAGCAGTATAATTATATATAAAACAAAATGGGTAACCATTTATTTTTATATTTTTATTTTTTTGACTATCCTAATTATCTAAGGCTAATATGAAGTAATACATTGTTAATTAATTGAATATTTAATTTATACTATAAGGAGGAATATTATAAAAAGTATATTTATGATTATCATCAATACAGATAATACGTAGTTTTTTTTTAAAGATTAAGAAAAATTTGAGCCATATCTTTGGCCAAATCTTTCAATGTATCAGCAACTCCACTATCACCAATTAAATTTA